TGCACAACAAGGCAGATAATTACAGTCAATAAAAAGACACATAATAAAATAATAAAAGTCAGGGATTTAAAAATGCCTGGTCGTAAAAGTGAGCCTTCAGCAGCGATTTGAACCGGAGGAGGGATGGTGCCAGCCTCACCGAAAGAGGAAGTGCATTCCAGAGTGTCGGAGCAGCGTAGACAAAAGCACGCTGCCCCCGCGTTTTGTATTTCATTAATGGAACACGAAGCAGCAGCCAATCAGCAGACCTCAATGCCCGGTTTGGCACATATCTAGTGACAAGATCCGACAGGTAATCCGGTGCCAGACCGTTCAGGGCCTCAAAAACAAAAATCAGGATTTTAAACTTGACCCTAAAGTTTACGGGTAGCCAGTGGAGCCGCGCCAGTACAGGTGTGATATGTTCTCTCCTAGGAGTGTTGGTAAATAATTCTTTAATCTGGTTATATACAATGCTTTCTATAATTTAACTTAATGCAGGAAGAATACTGATTGGTCGACAGTTTGGTTCGTTAACATTTTTTGGCGTCGATATGATGTATTTATGATGTATTCATTAACAGAAGAAAGTAGAAATACCCCAGTCCAATCTCTAGCATCGAAACAGGGTTCTTATTAAGGCCTTTTTTCTTGACAGGAATCTGATCGCTATGTCGACACTCAGCTCCTGAGCCCGTTGGGGGCTATGGTTTTAGATCACCCATGTTGTAGTACGACACCAACGCTTTGCTGGGTCAGAGGAAAGAACCGCTTGATCAGAGACGATCAGTGAAAATTATGCCAGTTCTATGCTTAAAGTCCAAGTTAGTTTAAATTAAACTTTAACTTGAAAAATAAAACTTTTTCTTGACTTAATTTAGGAAAAGCTCCTTGACCTCTGTTTGTGTTTCCATGTGTTTGTGCGTTTGTGTATGTTTTGTGGTGACCAGTCACTCAGAGAAAGTTGTCCCAATACTGCATAGCATAGAGTTCATAAACACTGTTTAAAATGATGTTTATAGATATTTTAGGCTTTTTTCAATACCACCATTTCATGTTTATGGTAGTGTGTATCTCTCATTCATAGCTGTGTTTTAGTTCTGTGATCTTTGTTAGTAAACTGTCTCCCTACTCTACTAAAACCCGGATTCATCAATTAGAATAACTTTAATAGATCTGCAAGTCAGTGCTGTAAAATAAAAATTACAATGTCTGATTGAGATTCTTACACTGTAAAATCTGATTAGTTCTGCTTACTTCAAGAAAAACATATGCAAACCAATTGCACTCAAAATTATAAGTACCAAGAACTAGATAGTTATGTTGGAGCTATTAATGTATCCAAAATAAAATGAACTTAATTAAAAATTATTTCAACCAAATCAAACTTGTACAACATATTTAGAAATGTGTTTACTTAACTATTTTTTTCTGTGTTGAAAATACTTTAATGGTAGTAAACTACAAGCAAATTTTTAAGTATGTTGTACTAGTTTGTCTCAGTAATTTTTACTTACATTCAATTATATTTTACTTTGCATGTTTTAGTAGTTCCAACACAAAATTACCTATGCCATGTACTTTATATTTTAAGTGCACATATCCAGATCTGCATTGGGTACTAAAAAGTCTAGCTCCCTAAAAATGAATTTAGCTTGGTTTGATTATTTGAAAACCTACTAGTTTAAGTTGGCGGTGTGTAGTTTCCTGCCAATAGGGGCAGTACGTACATTTCAGGGTAGTTTTAGGCCATATCACCGTGGTTGTCGCTAGTTTAAAAAAAACATTACGGTAAATGTTACCTGTGGAGCTGAAAGCATGCGACCTCGGCGCGACTCCTCAGTCTTTGATGGTCCTTTAGTTGCCGAATGTAGTTTTCTGGTGCTGTAGTTTCCAGATCTGCTTATGGTCCTGCGCCTGCCGATGATGTCATCATACTGCAGCAATACCGCTCGACCAAAATATGTTCCGTCTCCTTTTCAATTCTGTTCTTTTACGTATGTTTTGGAAAGAGTTTAGCAGTTTTGTTATTAAATTCATGTTTCTTACTGCCTAAATGTTTTTGAACGGGGTAACGTAACTTTCGTGAGTTGTACGTCCAGCCAATCATCTAGTGTGATGTCATCGACAGACGCAAGACCTCGAGCTGGTCAAAAGGAAACATGGTGTCTAAAATGGCGTTCTCCAAAGACACTAGACCCATGCCCTATGTACTTTAGACCCGATTTTTATGGTTGTATGTTAAAAAGCCGCCAATATTTTCAATGACTGGACGTCATTTTATTCATTTTCAACAACATTTTGATGGATATTTCTTGAAATAAATGGTAAAAAATACACATTGTCGTTGCATTTAGATCATCATGAACTGTACCCTCCACAAGATGGAAAAAGCGACTGTGACATCCTGTCGAGGAAACTTTACTTTGTTGGGGATATGAGAGGCTACAAGCTGAACCGCAGCTCTCCAGAAGGACTGCACCAGTTCATATACTTCCAGATCACTTGATAAGTCATTGTTATTGAGTGAAATAATGAAATTTTAATTATGAGACTGAAAGCTGAGTCAATATTTTGCAGAGTAGTGGATTCCCATTAGAATACCACAGGACATCAGTGATTTTGTGTCACTGCAGCTGGAGCATCACAGTCATGGTGGCTGTTTGTGACGCCTACGCTCGCCAGTCTGACCTAGAAGTGATTCAGAAGATCTGCCGTCTAAAAGGCTTTGAAAAAAGTGTGTGTGTGTGTGTGTGTGTGTGTGTGTGTGTGTGTGTGTGTGTAACCACCAGGGGGCATTGCAGACCTGCTGCCTTTTCATCTGCCTCACATCACTGCATTGCACCCAGTTATCTGATGTGACAGAAGCAGCTAACTTGCATCGTTATCTCTCTGTGGATAATAATTGACATGCACCACTCCTACACCTAATATGAATGTGTGTGTTTGTGTTTTTGGATGCTTTTGTGAGAGCACAAAAATAAAAGTTTCAACAAGTTGAGCAAAACTCTGACTGGAGAGCATCGCTAAGCTGCAGGATGCATTTAACCACAACAACAACAGCAGCAATGCATTGTGGGTGTCTGAATCTGCCTTCTTAGTAAGAACAGCTCCAGTATACATCTCTGTTATCAGGTTCAAGGCCTGAGATGATTGAGGATATTTCTCAGTTGATGGTAGAAAGTCTCCCCGCCAGCAGCAACCAGAAAGCAATTACTGTGAAGGGAGCTGAAAAGTCGTATTGCCAAGCTGGAGGACTTGAAATGGAGCTCCTTCCGTCAGTATTTTTGGCACCTTTGACAGGTTTTCATCCCCATGCCAGAGTACGTCTGTATACTGCACCGATCCTGTATTTGACACTTATTCTGAGGCTCATCAGCACCCGTAGACACACACTGAGAGTCGGTAATTAGCACGCTGATTGATCTGGGCAGCTCCTCCATGTCTTGTGTTTTGGCATCGAGGGAACATGATGTAGCCTGTTTCTCTTCTATCGTTTTTCACGGAGACATCAACGTGGCTCCGTAGAATTATCTGGATACACTCTGTCCCTGTGGTTTTTTAAAAATATTTGTCATACAGCACATTTCTAATAGACCGGGGGCTCCATGCAGCTGAACGGGCAGTAAGAGGCGCTTGTTTTATAGCAGAGTCATTCACCCGTCCCTGAAACAAACACCTGCACTGTCAGGAGCTTACAATCACCAAGATGGAAAGATAATAATTGAGCTCAGGATGGTATCTCACTAGATTAGTTTTGCTTCAATTCCTACTCGTAGCCTTCTCTAACATAAACAATAAGGGAACAACTGAAAAGGCTAAAGTCTTAACTCGTATCGTTTTATACGAGGATGTTGATTGATTGGATAATCGACACAAACCTTTTAAATGTTAATTTAGAGATGTGCCTGTAAAACATAAATATCCTGCGGCTGGACTGAAACTAGTGATGAATAATAATAAAACAACTTTTTTGACAGTTCTTGCTTTCTTTGCCCAGCTTAGATTTTCTGCTTAGCGGTTTAAAGCTGTTTCACTGTAAAAGTAACTGCAGTGTGTTTATAGTTCAGTTAAAGTTAAACAACCTATAAAAGCTGGTAAAGTAGAAGATGGGTTAAGAGAACCGGGTTGACTCTAAACATAAATCAGCATTAAATGTCCAACCAATAAAGACTTCCTTAAAATTTCATTATGATTTGTCCGGTGTGCAGAAATATGGTCTCACTGGAGGTTTAGTACCTCTACCTGCTCTTGGCAGACCGAGGCACATCGGCTGACATTTTGTTGTCAAGCTCTGGCCGAACCAACTATCTCATCTCCCCGTAGACCCACTCCAGCATCCTTGGCGGTCCGGTCCATTCACTGGTTTAAAAAATCGGTGATTAGAACGTGACCCTTTTGAACTGTAGAACAGGAAAGACACACCTCGAAACAGCGTCGGCTCTGGAAGGCTCTGGAAGTCCGTGTGAAGGGGTGGACTCCCGCCTTTACTTTGTTTCATGACTTTGTTGTTCTGCAGCCCCTCAAGGCGCTTCACAACACAATCAGTCATCCACACATTTGCATGCTGTTGGGGATGAGCTCTGATGTAGCTACAGCTGCCCTGGGGCGCGCCGACAGAGGCGAGGCCTGCCCCTCAATGGCGCCACTGCTCCCTTCGACCACCACCAGCAAGCTAGGCGGGTTAAATGCCCTGCCCAAGGACACAACAGCAGCATCAAAGCTGCAACTAGTATTGTTTTTCTTTCTGGAAATGTAAAACGTCTGAGTAAAAGTGGTCATGAGTTTTCTCCACCGCCCTGATTCAGCTTTTCATTTCTCTCCAGAGGAAAATAAAAAGACTTGGTTTGGTTTGTAATCTTAGATCAACCAGTCAGATTAAAATACATTCATTCGTATTTCCAGTTCATTCACGTTCTGATCTTCAGGACGAAAACAGATGCATGTAATTAGCTGCTTTAAATGTTGGGTTAAGCTGCCTTTTGTTTGAAGGACAGTAACAAAGCCGTGTTCCTCTGCAGGCTCTCACCACTGGCAGCATCCCAGGCTTCATCGATGTGGTCATGAACCTGAATTCTCCTGCGCTTTTGGAAGACAATCTCATTTGGCAGGCCAATACAGCAGGCAAGAGGATCATCTTCTATGGAGACGACACCTGGGTGCGCCTCTTCCCAAAACACTTCATGGAGTATGATGGAACCACCTCCTTTTTTGTGTCAGACTACACCGAGGTATGTACGATGTAGGGGAGTAGATGCTGCAGGAACCGACTGCCTCCGATTATCAGTAAAGGGTTACAGCTCTGGGTGGTTTATGTGTTAGAGGAGTTTTAAAAATGATTCATAAAGGATGATAAAATAAGTGACACGAGGCTCTTTTCCCAGGTTGGTCATAAGATTGATGTTTAAAATGAAAGTGCTCAGCTATATGGAGCTAGATGTGACTCACACCACACAGCTGCCACAGTAAAATAGATTTTGGATGTTTCTAAAGGTTTATGAGATGAAATCCAGCAGAAATCTTTAGAAAAGAAATCTTGTTTTTTTTAGGAAAGTTTTCTACCTGCAACATGATTTTCTGTTAGGGATGAGATCTACGTTATATGTTGCATCAGTTCTGTGCAGTCTGTCATGTTTTGGTCTACAAGGTAAAACGGAGATCTGGTTAATTGATGAAAAGAGGCACAGAGCTGAGTCCACACTCAGGAGGTTCGTCATTTACGCCTGAAATAAAAATGCTTAGTGGGACTGTGTTTCACTGTGGAATATTTAACAGAAAACATGAAAACAACCCAAAACCACTTCCTCTCCTTCGGTCACTACAACGTTCACAACACCGTCTGCTGTATTATGTCAGTCACTACAGTCTAAACTGGCTCTGAGGGTTCATCTGATAGGAGAAGTGTAATATTAGTAAAGGGAGGTGGAGCACATTGCACACGCAGTATTAAAACCAACAACAGACATTCTGAGCTTTAAAGAGACAATGTTTATTTTTATCATTAATATCTGGAAATATCCATCAAAACGTTGTTGGAAATGACCCGTCGTTGAAAAATAACGGTGGCTTCATAACATATAACCATTAAAATTGTGTCTGAAGTAGGGCTGCAACTAATGACTATTTTAACAGTCGGCTAGTCACCGACTATTGAAACGATTAGTCGACTTATCGGATAATTACTAAATGTTTCTTAAGTTTAGCTCGAGATTGCTTTAATTATGTGAAAATGATGATAAACACAAGAAAGAAGGGTACTTCAATGGAAAATGCATATTTAATTGAACTTTGCTGCTGACAGGCCGATTCATACTAACAGTAAATAAAAATGCCGTCTAACACCAATTAGGCACAGTGCCCAGTCAGTACAGACATAAATGCATAAATGAAATTAAAATACTTTTGTCAGGCACAGTCGGGCATAACATTAAATCTCTCTTTTTAAAAAGTGAAAATACGTTTAAAAAATGTACAACGTACGTCCAAAACAAAACATGTTGGCTTTCGTGTTATTTAAATCTTACCGAGGTGATCAGACTCTGTTTCATTCAACTGTCCGACGTGCTTTCTCTTTAAGTGTTCATGCATCAGCGACGTGCTGCCGTGATACGCGAGGACTGCTTTGCAAATTATGCAGGTCATCTTTTTATTTACCAAATCCAGGCTGGAATGCTCCCAAACTTTAGATGTTTTGGTACGCGTAGCTGCTGTGTTGGACGCCGCCATTTCTGTTAGTTGGCGCTCAGCAGACAAGCTACTGCGCATGTGCGACTATCGGCAGAGATTGTAATGAAGCGAGATGTCTCACGCGGTCGGAAAAAGCACGTCTGGCGACAACGCCGACAGTGAAATTCATTGTCGATATTTGTCGACAACGTCGACGAATCGTTGCAGCCCTAGTCTGAAGTACATAGGGCATGGGTCTAGTGTCTTTAGGGGACGCCATATTAGATGCCATGTTTACTTCTGGGCGGCTCGGGGACTGTGCTTGTTGATAACATCACACTAGATGATTGGCTGGACGTACGACTAACGGGAGTTACATTACCACGTTTGAAAACATTTAGGTAGTAAGGAACAGAAATTTCATAACAAAACTGCTGAACTCTTTCCAAAACATATATGAAAGAACAGAATCAAGGGAGAGATGCTATATATTTTGACCGAGCGATCTTGCTGTAGTATGATGTCATTGGCAGCCGCAGAGCCCTGAGCAGATCCAGAAAACTACAATCAGCATTCTGTTCTCTCGATGGAATTAACTAAAGGACCATCAAAGTCTGAGGGGTCGAAATCAGCAACAAAAACAAAGACAATTAGGACATGTGCTAGCTAGCGCACTGAATTTGACATGGTGTCATTAACCCAATTTTCAATAATTCCGCGTTTTTCTTCATCACAACAACTTCTCTTCCTCCATAGATCATATGTTCAAAGGTTGAAGTTGATTCGACGAAAAATGACGAATAGGTGATTAAAACTAAGTTTTGCGTTTTTGGAGATCTAGCAAAAAATCTAGTTAGGCGGAAATGGGCGTGGCCAATACAAAAAAGATGCAGAATCATCCAAGGATCATGTCCATATAAAGTTTTTTGACTGTAGGGCCTATGGTTTGGGAGCTAGTAGCTCAAACGTATTAACCTCCGCAATAGCGCCACCTAGGTGACTCAGGGTCCAAATTTTCGAACCTGAGTAGCTGTCAGGATTTTCTATCAGACTGCCATATCAGATTTTTCCTGGCAATTTCAGGCTCTTGCCCCCATACAGTATTAGCGGAGAAGAATAATAATGAATGAAAAATCCGTAGAAAAACAATAGGGTTCCAATGCCCTTTGGGCTTGGAACCCTAATAACCTCCAAACTGTATTTCACACATATAAATCATTTATCAAGTTCAACCAAAGCCGATAGGCACCAGGTTACAGACACGGGCTGTTACAATGCCAAGGTGATTTCATAGCCGTGGCGCTAGAATTTCAGGCGTGGTGCTGCACCACGCCTGAGCTTATGTAGGGGAAACGTTGATATGGTGTAAAACTACTCTGAAATGTTTGTATGTATTGTCTAGGGTTGCAACGATGATACATTTTAGTAGTGCGACTATAGAATGAGAAATAGTCAGTTTCACAATTACCACGATTATTTTACATTAATTGATGTCTCATCTGTATTAACATAAATAAATCACATTCTATAAATGATTGATAAAGGCACGATTACATTCTATAAAGGCTTTGAACACCTAAATATATAATTTTCAGAGATTTTTCTTTGAAAAATTCACTCTACTACCGATTTGCAATGTTGATGTTTTATCTCCACAAATAACACAATCCTGGAAGAGTTCTGCTGTGTGGCGGAGCCTCCGTTTCCTGGAAGCTAAACCAACAACATCCTTCCTCGTCACAAGTCAAGATGGATGAGTCAATGAATGTTAAGTAACAGCGTGACGTAGATCTGTCAGGCTTTTCTAATCCTAGAGTTTCACTGTCCGTTTTCTATCAGAAGCTAATGCAGGAGATAGGTGTAGGAGACTATCTTCATGTTATTGTCATGTAGCCTGTGTTGTCAGAAAGAACAAAACGTTTATGGCTTATTTTTAATGCACTGCTTCATGGCAGTCCTGGCTTTGGTGGCAAACATACGCTCCTCCACAGAAGCCCCATTCCCACCTGTACCGGGTCGGCCCGGGCCGGGTAGCGTAGGTTGTTTACATATCTGGGTGGCCTGGAATTTTTCCGGGCCAACCAAGGCTCATTCTCGGCCCTCTTCCCGAGGGGTACTGCTTCAGGCCGACCAGGGCCAACACGCCCACTGCTGACAGCAAATTCACACCTTCCATTAGAGCAAGCCTCTGATTGGTGGGTAGAATCAGCCCACATGGGCTTAAGACAAGGATGTGTGGAATCAACCGGGCCAGGCTGGGGCCGACTGGGGCTACCCGGCCCGGGCCGACCCGGTACAGATGGGAATGGCCCAAGAGAGGCTTTGCTGGGGGTGGTACACGACTTTGCAGGCTACACGTAAACTGTCATACAGCGGGCGTATTCTTTAGCATTGGCTTCCCTCCGTGACACTTTTCATGACAATCTAGCACCAGATTTGAGTTTTTAATTCCGTTTTTATGATTCAGTAGCTCACTTTTGGCACCTCGCACCATCTGGTTTTTTATTTTGTTTTATTTGTGCCATTTCAAATGTTTTTATCATTCGTCGCATTATTTTATTTTTATAGTGCTGTTAACTGTTCTCCTATTTTATTGTTTTTAGTAGGAATTTTTTATCTCCGACTATTTATCCTTTGTTCTTATGTATTTTGCCTGTTCTTATTGTGTTTCTTGATCAAGCATTTGGCTTTTTTATGTACAGCACTTTAGTTAGCTGCCATGCTATTTTGAAATGGTGCTTTATAAATAAATATGGTATGGTATGGTATGGTATGGTATGGTATAGCCATCTGAGCCTTTTTTGCTGTCATTGAGGGCATCTTCCACAGGGTCACTCATATGGATGGGTACCTTTGACATTTGAATCGATCCAGTACTAATTCCTGGTACCTAGGAATCGATACCGGTACTTAACGGTAACAATTTTCGATACATTTGAGTGTTTATTATTTTAATTCTCTTTTATAATAAAATATATATTTTTCTCAATATATAACCATATTTGATAAATATCACGATAAATAACATATAACTGATTGTATTTTAACATCGTCCTTGTAGTTTTATAAGCTGATAATTAAACTGAAGCAAACATCTTTACTGTGAACTAAATTTACTGTGTCTTCATTCCTTTTGCCGTCGTTTTTTCATGTGATTTTTCCTACTGGGAAGTTAGAATTTCCGAGGAGAAAGCGAACGCACCATTAGCTGATAACAATGGTAGCAATGGAAGCTAACATACCAAGCTAACGTTATCTTAAACGGTTTATTTAGCTGCTGGAGCAGATTAAAACGATGCCTCACACTTAGATCGTTGTCACTAGTTTCGTCTTCACCCGTCACATTTATTAAAGTGAAGCCAAACTTACGAGCGCGTTCATGTTCTTCTAGTCGGGAATTCGGAGTTCTGAGGAGAAAGCGAACGCACCATTAGCGAAACGGAAGATATGGCACATGAAAAATTGAACTGGCACACCAAAGATCTCTGACCTTTGGCAGCTTCAAAATCCCCATGTACAGTGTTATCCCAATGCACTGATACATCTCAGGCTCCGTCACCTCAGT